ATGCGTTTCAGCTTAAAAAAAAAACCCAAAGGATCCACCCCAAAACTTCCCAGCTGTCTTCTTTCGCTTCACTCTTTGCAAAAAAAGCTTTAAAAAAAAAAAAAAACCAACACGTGGAAAGGCTGGAAGATTATTTTCTGTGTTATCCGGCCAGCTAGAATGAAAATATAACTTTGTTGGGCGATTTTGTGCTGTCTGGATGCCAGCGGGTTCACCCTGCCTGGCTGGTGTGGGTGCTTCTGGTGCTGGCACCCCCCTGCCGAATCAGGACACGGTCCAGGGCCAGGACCCTGTGCCCTGTGGTGGCTCGCTGACACCGCTTCCCATGGGGAAAAGCTGATGAAAGACGGAAAACAGGTGGGCCCCGAATGCATGCCCCAGAAGTGGAGGGGAGCCCAAGCCACCGGGCTGGCCAGCATCGCACCTACCTGTCACCCTGCTCGACCCAAGGAGCCGGAGTGCTTTCCCTTCCAGCGTGGTAGAACCGGGGTTTGTACCCAACATACCATTAGCAACATCACCTGAGGCTTGGCGGACACATCATCAGGCGTCGGGGATATTTATATAGATATTTTTGATATGGAGATAGGGTAATAAGACTGGAAGCCTCCCTCTGAGGTTTCAGATTAAATAAACCGTCTTTATTTGCACAGGGCCCTTTACTACGGGCTCTGTTCATGCTTTTAAAGATCACAGGCAAAATAAGCAAGTCCCGTACTCCCCCCAGCCAGCTTTCCTCTCTCCTGCAGCTTGAGTTATTGAAGACGGAAGAGTTTCAAGGCACCGAGTCAGTTTTCAGCATGGATGAGGTCCCTCCCAGGGCAGGGGGACGCAGGACAGGCTTACAGGTCATGAATGCTCCTGCTCAGCGCAGGCAACACGACAGGCAACATCCAACTAAAAGCTGAGCCTAGTTTTTAGGAGCAAACCCTGTCCTTCTGTGTAAAACATCACAGGAAGGGACAAGTTTGTGCCTGAAAGAGAAATTCAGTAGGAGAAACGTGGTCTGTGCCAGACCTGCCTTCCTACCTCCACGCCGGTGGCTTAGAATGTCACTTTGGGGGAAACAGGGAGAGGCAGCCAGTATTTCATGAATGCCAACGTGACTATTTTCTCCAAAATCTCCATGTTTTCTCTCCTGCCCAGCATGATGCCTCCAAGTCATAGCAGGTTCAGCGCTACCTGGAACTGGTTTTAGCAGAGGGGAAACGGCGGCTGCATTTCCAGCTCTACGAAACAGCAGCTATTGCGTGCAAAAGCCTGGCCCAGCCTGGCTCTGGCTGTTCCCTAGCACAAAATCCGGGCTCCTCACCGCCCTCCAGCAGTGTGTTTACTTACAGCAGTGTATTTCTTTCTAAAGATCTGGTCTCAGGGGGCAAAATCCCTTCTGTGTATGAAACCAGTACTGACTAGCTCAGACATTGTCTTCCGGAGACTGCAGGCAGCCTGAAACAATAGGGGTGTGCGGAGCGTCCTGATACATTTCCATTTTTGGACTGTGATAAATCTGAAACGTAACAGTAACAGCTCTAAAAATGGCCCACGTTAATTATCTACTTGGGAATCATTTTGGTATTCAGCCATCACACACAATCCCCAACGGCCTCACATCTTCCTGCATACCAGAAGATTCATTTAACCCCTCAAAACTGGACAAAGCCTCCAGGTTCCCCTCGGAAACTTTCAGACACGACCGCAAGCTGGAATATGGACATCAGCAGCGCAATGAAAATATGAAGCATGCTGGGGAAGGGCAGCCTAAGACCCTGGCATTCAATGTAAGAAACAAACTAGGGACCGACTGTGTTGTGTTTCACGTACAACTCAATCCAAATCTCATTTTTTTAAAATGCAACCCACACACTCAAAATACAGAACAGAGCCCGGGTTTAGCCAAAATCGCTGGACTACAGACAAGCGCTTCCCATTTTTGGGGTTTTGCTGACACCTGGTGTTTTGGAAAAGATGCTGTGGCATCTTGCAAGTCCCTTCCCTGGTTTCTGTTGGGATGGCCGCTCTCTCAGGTCAGACAGATGAATGTCTGGGAGCTAATCCTGAATATGGGGAAGAACCTGAGAAATGCAGGTGTGCATCTAGATTTCAGAGGCACTCTTTAACATCTCAAGTCAAGAGAAGTGCTGCAGCAGTATTTGTGGCATTCCTTGTTACGTTACTGCAAACCTCATGGTGTAAATGTAAACTTCCTAACTTCAGCAGTCAGGGGAACTGCAGGGGGGAATCTCAGGTCTCACTTATTTTTAAATAGTGCATTTCATTGCAAGGGAAAACAATCCAACGATGTGATCCAAATCCAAGAGCTCTCTCTACAGTGGCTGCTCTACCCAAGGCAGCCATTTAGGGTTAGCACCCAAGACCCAGAAAACAAAACTGACTTCAACAGTCAAGCACTCATCAAAGCGGCATTCTTATTTATTCAGTTAAAGCACATTTTTCCCCAACAAAAAAGGAGGAAAAACAATAAGCAAGAAGGCATGTTTCACACCAGTCAAGGAGGAAAATAAATTATCGCGACACCTGAACAAATTCAAATTGCAAGAGTGGGTGGCATCAGGAGACGATACAATGGAGCTGAACAAAGATCTGTTTGACAGTGATATTTTCTGGTTTTCCCCTGGTACGTGGGCCTGTGGTAACAGCAAAAGGCTCTGGCTATGGATGCTACCAAAAATGACAAAATGCTCATCACAAAGTACATTAAAAAGTCCAATCCCAGACTTTTTCCTTCTTCATACAGAGTAAAACTCAGCCTCTATTATTTATCACACATAGTACTTAGTCCTACTAAAATGATGTTTGAAATGCAGGAAAAAATGGATTTTCAGCTCACAGCCTGGACCAAAACGGACTGTTACTGCAAACCCTGTCCAACTTCTTGTATTTCCAAAAGAAGTCCTGAGAGACCAGGGCCAGAGAAGAGCCCAGCTGACAAACATGCTCACCTTGAAAGCTGTGAAGAGCTAACAGCAACAAGACACCTTTTGGTACAAGATCATGCTGCCTTTTGTGCCACACTCTTCCTCTGATGGGCGCCAGGAAGATTTGCATCTGCAAACAAGATCTGAAAATACAGGATGAAAATAAAAGCAAAAATGCAAAATGTGTCCCACCTCTACACAACGATGTCAGTATCTCACATGCTGATCTTTAAATAAGAACAGTGGCTCCCCCAGGAATAACAGGCACCAGCTGTCCACGTCCTGTGCCCAAAGGTTTGCTGGACCAGCATTTCCATCTCATTCCAAACGCTTGCCCTGCCCAAATCAGATCAGTTACATCTCCCCAGGCAAACACTGTTGTAAACAAAATTCCATAAATAAATCCATCACAAGGATTAAATATTTACAGCACAAACACATAAGGAAACTGTTACAACTCAAGTTAATAAATAATGAGAACAACGTGGCTGTGCTCCTGCAACTCAAGCTGTCTTTCCACACATGCAAAAGCAGCTGTATTCCGTCTCCTCCGCTGAGCAGCAAACTCAGTGTTTGGGATCTTCTCCCTCCAGTTCCCACAAGTCCAACATCCATTGCCCAGTGACACATAGGCTTTGGGATTCAGGAGATGGTAGAGGCTTGAAGGATCTACCATGTGGTCAACCTTTCAAGATAACTGACCCCTCACTTCACCTCAAAGACGTTAGTGCAATCAAGTCTTCCAAAACTCCACAAAGGTTTAGAAAACCCCATGTGAAAATAGTCAGTAGTGCACATCCTCTCATGCAGAATAGTCACAGTTTTCTTACAAATTGCTTTACAACCTCAGTGCTTTAAAGTTTCTCACTGAAATTTATAGCAATATCAGACTTTCCATGTTATCACAGGATAAATATTGATAATTTTGGGGCAATAATTTGAAATTTCAAAAGTCCTGAAGTTTCTACTAGGAAACTGAGGCAATTCTGTATGAAAAGGAGCCTGATATGAAGCAATCAAACCCACATATTACTGGTTCTTGCCTAAAAATCACAGAGGTATTTCATACACAGTTATACACAATTTTCAAACAGCCTGTTTATAACAGGGTCAACAGTTTACAATTTTGTAAATAATTTTACATTCTCTCCTGGAGGACATGTTTTGTTTTTTTATTTTGAACACCCTGTAGGTATTGTAATCTTGATTAAAGATAGTGAAATACTCCACTGGCTTTCTGAATGCCTGAGCAGATATACTTCATCCTCTTGAAGAGAGTTTCAATGTTTTTACACCAAGAACACTACATTCTCAGCAGTGATTCTTTACAATCTTGTGCTTTTCTGCACAATAAAAGCTCAGAAGAAACAAAACACCACCAAGTGTTCACACTTGGTTCAGTGCAACAAGGGAAGACTTAACAGTTATAGTTTTTAATTGCAGGAACTTTGATTTCCTGGGTTCATCAGTGCAAGTTTTGAGGGCAGTGGGAGACAGAGAGCTATTCCTAGTCAGGCGAGGGCTCTTCTTTGCTAGTAGAAGGAGAAACATAGTCTTGGATCTTGGCTTGTCAAATTCTCAGCGAGGCCCTTTGGCACTGGGTTGTCCCACAGCCTACAACGACAGCAAATGTGTTACTGTAGGACTAGGTGTGGTAAGCGAGGAGGTGGCATGCCAAAGACAGTGGAAGAGGCAGCTTTGGGTTTTCAACAAAGCAGATCTGACAGACAGGAGTGAGGTATGGCCATATCTCAGCGACACAGCAGCAACCCAGCAGCTGCCTACCCGCTGAGATGGACTCACTTATCTAGCTTGGGAGAGAGATTAAGGCTTTGAGAAGTCCTCAGGCCACTAGGATCTCAGAAAGGGGAGGAAGAACTGAGTTACACACAAGCAACCTGATTTACGTGAGCCACCGTTCTTCATCTACCTCATTTGGTGGAGTCTACCCAAAAGCTTCCCATACTGGGCCTCTACCTTGTGAAGCAGAGTGCCCTGAGGAGTCAGAGGGAGTGTGTGCTGTGCTGCACCCACCAATTTGAGCAAGCACACAGGGGCCCCAAGCTCCAGCCGGGACCAGAAACATTCCTCAGTGGTTGCTCTCAGGCTGCTCTCACTATTGGGGAAGGCAGAGCCTGTTTTGGGCCAAGGAGACAGCTCAGGTAGGAGCAGACACTTGGCTGTGGGACCTGTGTTACCAGAAAGTTATCAGAGGCGCTCTCAGAAGAGTGACTTTTCAAATGAGTGAAGGATGCATGGGTCTTTCCTACAAGAGGTTTCTAGTGGAGTTTGAAACACAGGGCTTGGAGAAGCAATGACAGAGTGGGAAAAATCAGGTTTCCAAGTATCTGCAAGATATGGATCCCAGGACAGAGTGGGACAGGGCAGGAATGTATCTCAGAAGTGAAATCAGATGTAATGGGAGAAAGAAAACCTATAGGAAAAAATGCAACAAACTTCCTGATGGGGACATTACACAACTGGGTCTTCATTTTTATCTCATTTAAAGCCAGTAAGCTTTTCAGTCCCTTTTCCCCAGGACTTTCTGAGGGGGTGGAGCTGGCCTAGAAAACCCTCAGCTTACTTGGCTCGCGTCTGTGTCCCCTGCAATATCCTGTTCCGTGCCAGCTAACCCAGGGCAGCAGGCTGGCATGGGTCACGTCTGTCCCAAGACTGGTCACCCCGATTTCCCCTTGCTGAGCCGATACCCAGCCACAGAGCTCCGTGATACCTGCTCACCTTATGAATTGAATTTCCGGGCACTTGGCAAGTTCCTCTGCTAGCTTTGTGGCCCCACAGGCACCAATTTGATTTTTCTCCAGACTGTTTTAGAAACAAAAAGAGAGTTTTAAAATCCAAAATCACATCAAGAGTGGAAAACAGCTGAATAATCACTGGCTCCTTCTCCTGTCCCAGAAGAGCTACACTTTTGCACAAGCACAGCAATGCCATACAACTTATATCAGCCTCATCTTTATGACCATGGCCCTATTTATGCAAGAAGTGTGTGCACTGCTCCCTATGACCTCCTTCTAGCAACAGGACTCGTAAGCAGATCTCTTGCCCTTGGAGTACTCTAACAGATTCCACTGTGAGCTTGGTGCCAAAAAATGCTAGTAACAACTCCTCCTGCCTCAGACACAATCTTCCTGTTCGTACCTGTAAAACAGACAGGCTCTACTATGTAGTTTCCCTGCCCAAGACAAACAAAACTCAAATCCTGACCCTATGACCCACAGACTAATATTTTCATGCAGCTGAGAGATGGAAGACACATACCATGTATTCCAAAGGGCCAAGGGGAGGAAAGCTCCATGAACAGTTCTTGAGCAGAAGATGACGGTCTCTCTCATGGAATAGGGCTGGGCTGTGTTGCCACTGGGCCAGCACATGAGCTGGCAACATCAACCCCAGCTGCTGGTTGCACTGCAGTTCCAGCACAGGAGCTGCATCTGAACTTCCTGTGAGCTCCTATGGCCTGACACCCGCAATTTGGCTGCTCCATCCTGGGGATGGATTGCTTGTCTTGCTGCAGGATTTCACAAAGGAAGGCTCCCTGAGCATGGTACCCATCTAGACCATCCCAAACACTGAAGAGAAGTAAAAGCTTGCAGGAAGCAGCTCACCTGAGGTCATTAGGTGATATGAGTCATGTTTTAGAAATACCAGTTTGTTTTCCCTGACTCAAACAGGAAGCCTTCACAGACTAGCTTCTGCTTAGATACCTACGCTGCAACACCTTAAACAAAAAATGCCTCTCTGCGCTGTGTATCACCCAAGCAAGGCTGGCCCTTGGTGCATGCAGCAAGAATGCTAAGCAAGAATTTGAACTGCAAAAGCCTGTCTGTTGTTCCTAACGTCCATCCTCTTTTTGGAAGTGCTGTGGTTGAAGGCTCAACGACAGAAAAACAAGTCTTCGTCCTGGGGTTGCTCTTAGGGCTATACTCACTCTAACATCTTCAGCTTTTCCATCCCTGGGAGAGCACTGGCCAACTCTTGGGCTCCTCTATCACCAAGGGCGTTCCAAGACAGCCTAAGACAGACAAGAAATCCCAACTGTGAGTCAGTCAATAAATGCAAGGAGAACAACAGCAGTGCTGTGATACAACCCCCTCACAGATTCGCCTGTTTACAAGTGCTTATCGCCCTCTTATCATGGCAGGTAAAAGTTCCCCTTATTTACAAGCTTAATTTTGAGGAGTTTCCTCAGTTTCACCACATATTTTCATGTATGGTAAGACACCAGGGGGTGTCGCCACAGAGCCTGGGGACTGTGGTTATCTCCAGAGTCCTGCAGCCCAGTGAATGATATGCAAAAGATGGAAATGACTGGTTAGCACACAGCTTTACCCCAGGACAACTCCTCCTTGTGCTGATGGTGTCAAACTATTGCAGCAGCTAAGGTGCCTCTCTGACCAGCTCTTAAAGCCGCCTTTTGAGTCTAAGCTCTTTCAAAGGATAGCTTGCAGGGCTCTTGAAAGGCTGGGTTTTTTACTTTCTGGTGCATTAGCATGTGAGAAAATTCTTCAGTTCCTTTCTTTGCCACTGGCTGAACAGCCTGGCCATCTCCCTCTCACCTGGAAAACAGAAACCTAGCATGGCACCATCAGTGCTTCACTACAATACTCAGCTGAATGATCCTGGGGCCACCCCACAGACCCATTCCTCTATCCAAGTCTGAGGAACTCCAGAATTTCTGTATCGTGTGTAGGAGCCAAAAAAGAAAGGCAGGACAGGATCCAGCTCAAGAACTGGGGCCTTCCACCAAAGTAGTACATGGCCTGTTCTGGGATTTCATGGCTATCAGCATATTGCTCACTGTGTCACTCAGATTTCCCAATGACAGAACTCACATATGCCTCCACTGACAAGACAAGACCCTTCCTAACACTACTATTAAAGGAGAATCTGCCTATCTGTTAGTAATCCAAGAGTAGTAACTCCCCACATGGTTAACTATTCTTAGTGCCATGCTTCAAGTGACACACCTATGCACTTTACTCATCCCATTACTCCACTGAATTATTGCCAGACCATTTATGACCATGGTCTCATGGTCATAAAATCCTGGCTTTGTCCTGAGTCCTAAGAGATCTGTGATCTCCACACAAATACCTTCTGGGGAAGGAAGAGGAAAGTCTGGTGGGCTTATAACCTATGCATCATTTTACTCAAACCATCCACAAGTATTTTGCAGAACTGAGGCACATAAGAGTAGCATGACAATCAAGCCTCACCCAGCTGACCACAGCAGAGATCACTAGAGAGCCTAGATCTCGCCGATCTATATCCTGATAGAGGAGTGATCTCAGCCTAGGAAGTCTGTATCCTGCCAGCACCTCAGCAGTGTTAGTCTTCATTAAAGCTACAGGTAGCTCAGGACTGATGAAACTGCTGCTGACTCCATGGGATCTTGTGTACTACAATTAAAGTTAAGGTCCTCCTAGTGTAATGGGGCAAATTGCTTTTAAAAAGACATAAGCTGGAACAGATTCCCAGCAGGCTTCTTGCTGAGGTTCGCTTGGACAGATGAACACATGCCAGAATGTAGTTAGCCCACCTATGCTGTTTATTGAAAACATGTTAAACATCCATGCATCAGAGCAACCCCTTTTATTCCAACGAGGAGAGCAAGACTGCAGCTGGTGGTACACCCTGTTCAGGCTGAATTCACTTTGGTTTGAGCTCTCAATTCAGCCTCCACAATTGCACAGAGAAGCTCCTGCTCTGCTCTGAGAGTCAGCTGTGGCCATCTTGTAAAAAAAATGGAGGCAAGACTTGGACCATGGAGAACGAGATGGAGAATTTGTCCTGCCTTGCAAAGCAGATGCTAAAAGACCAAGGATAATGGGCAGAGTTTGAAGATGAGTGTTTTCCTCCATATTCTGTTCAGCTCTTCACATTCAGCTTCCAATAAGCTGCTAGTTATACCAGGAAATTTCTAGAAGTTAATTTCGTCAATTAGTAAATTACTAGTAAATTTATCACTAAGAAGTACTTAGTGGTAATTATCAATAAGTATTTAGCAGGATCAGAAGTGTACTGCAGTTGAAAATAGGAGCAGACATTAAAACAAGAGTGACCTGTGTGTTGAAGGGTCTCCCCATCCATTCCCACACTCACATTATCTCCTCCATGGAAGGGCATTGTCGGAAGCCGTGAGAAAGTGATTTTGAAGCATCATCAGTGATTCCACAGAGTTTCAAGCTGAAGCAGCAGGGAGAGAAAAAACACAGGGCACAATGTGCTAGTGTCAGAACCAGTGGGGAATATGCCACCGGCACCAGCACCATCTGCTGTGCACCTGCCCTGGCAATGCTACACACAAAGCCGGCCACACTCTGCCCCGGCCGCCTTCAGTGCCATGGTACTCACTCGATCTTCTGGAGGTGTTCAAGGCATGGCAGCCCCTCGGACAGGGCATGGATACTTCCTTCTCCAAGGTCATTTTCTGATAAACTGTAAGAGTAATGGAAAAGCTTTGAGTGGCCACAGAAAAAGCAGGTACAGTCAGAGAAAAGCCACCACCAAACGTAACTATGTGAATTAGCAAGTCAACAACTAGTACCCAGACTAAGTGAGGACTCTAGACAGCAGGGACAAACCAGATTGGCACATGGCAACTCAGGGTCAATTCCCTGCTTGGTAGAATGGGAATGACAGCCCTGCTCTAACTCGCGACGTAAGTCCATTCAGCAGTGAATTGCTTGCAGATAGTAATGTGGGGTTATGCCCATGGCTAAGATGGACAGACGTGTAGCACATCATGAGTTGCATGTGAAACCAGAAATAAGAAGTTATACTGGAGGTAATGACTGGTGTGACTTGAGAGGAAATGACGGTAAGGGAGAGTGGGAAGAAGACATGACTCTCAAAGACTCAGGGGGCAGCAGTAACTGCATTCCAGCCTTTACCAGGGTGTGCTGCTCTGTTCTCATCCACCAGCAAACACAAGCCATGGCAGTACCTCCCCTGCTGTAACATATCTCACACCTAAATTACCAACATCCTAATTCATCTTGTTTTTTAACAACCTGAACCTTTCACATGTCACTCCATGTAATTAGCAAAAGGCAGCCTGAATTAATCTGTTTTCTCTATTATCTTCATGCAACATGGGAAAGGGGGAAAGACAGGAATGTGTGATTTTCAAACCACAACAGCGAGTCAGGGTGACTCAGAACAGGTACCAATTAGAAACAGCAAGTTCATGTTTTGAAACTGCCTCAATTCCTCTTGGCGACGTCTGTATTAAAACAGCTTGCCGAGAGAGCATGTGTGCGAAGATTTCTTCAACACTCAGATCTGCTCAGCAGTTTAAAAAAGGAAAAAAAAAAAAGAAAAAAAAAGAAAAAAGAAAAAAGAAAAGAGAGAAGAGAGAGAAGAGAGAGAAGAGAGAGAGGAGAGAGAAGAGAGAGAAGAGAGAAGAGAGAGAAGAGAGAGAAGAGAGAGAAGAGAGAGAAGAGAGAGAAGAGAGAGAAGAGAGAGAAGAGAGAGAAGAGAAGAAGAGAAGAGAAGAGAAGAGAAGAGAAGAGAAGAGAAGAGGAGAAGAGCAGAGTAGAGAAGAGAAGAGCAGAGCAGAGAAGAGAAGATTTCAGTTGGAAGGGACCTACAATGATCATCTAGTCCAACTGCCTGACCAATTCAGGGCTGACCAAAAGCTAAAGCATGTTGTGAAGGGCATTGTCCAAATAATAAACAAACAAACGCATAACAATAATAAAACACATAAAAACATATAACAATAAAAAAACACATAACAAAGAACGGTGGCATCAAGGATGCAGCAGGAAGAGTTAATTGACAGTACCTCCATTCTTTCAGTTCCTTGTTTAGAAATTCTACCACTCCCCAGCTTACTGCATACAGTAGTTGAAAGGCACATGGCTACACAAAGCCTGGCAAACAGCACTGGCAGACATGGTTTAATATCTAAAGTGATCTAAGCTGCCCCACAGGCAGTGCACTGCAGTGACCTTCAGAGAGAGTCTCCTCTCATCCTATGAAAAGTGTCTAGGATGGGTGGAGGGGTTGCCCTCTGCGGAGCCACCCTGAGCACAGAAAGAGCCTACGGAACAGCCTCAGGCCTGTGAGCTGAAATGATCCCTACCCGCAGAGTGATACCAGTCCATACATTTGGCACCATCGCAAGTGCACCTGCCATGGCCTACCTTATCTCTTCTAGCAGCCCACACGACACCAGAGCTCTGGCCAGCTCCATCCCTCCTGCTGGCCCAATGTTATTGTTCTGCAAGCTAACAAAAGAAACACAGGCATCGGAGGATTATTTTAGAATAAAGCTGTAACAAAAGCTCATATTTAACTTGCCAAGAAGATAACTGCTACATCTTTTGAATCAGCACCCGGTGCTGGTAATAACCTGGGATCCTTGTGGATTAGTCTTAATGAAGGGGCCTGGAAAACAGGGAGGCAACAGTGGGGGCCAGCAACGTGGCTAGCAGGTCACATAGCTCCTGTTGCTGTCAATGACACTTAAGGACATGCAAGTTCAGTGGATTTGCCCATTCTCACAAGGAAGGAGCACAGTCAGCCAGTCATTGCAAAAGCAAAGGCTGCATAGTACCACCAGGAGTATGCCTCCAGCTCCATGCACATGGGATTGGTTTGAGATGAGTGAGGAACGGCCTTAAGAACAAAGAGCAGATGAGAAACCTCATGTGTGCAGATTTTCCAATGCCTTTCCAGTGAAGACAAGAACCTGCCCAGAGGACTAAAGTCCCCTCACCACTGGGATTCCTTTTCTAAGTTATCTTTTGATGATACCTTAGACATAGGCTGGAAGACACACCACTAGGCTAACTGAGCCCAGTGAGCATTTCTAGCTCACCAATTTCTTGCTTTACTACTGTAAAACAGTATGAGAAAGTCCTACGTGTTAGAGCCCTGGAAAGACTCCCATAAAACGTTTAAAAATATAATACCACTGAGTTCAGGGTGGGAAATTACTCAGATACGCCTGCACAAAACACTGAGGGACCACAAAAGGTGCTCATATTTATGCTTACATTACACCAGAATGAGAGGTCAGCCAGAGGCATTAGAAGCTAACATACTCAAAACCAATTTTAAGGGTTATTTTACTGTATATACAATGCCCGGTTCATCTCTAAAGTTAACACTGCAAGAGATTATGCAAGAGTAGTTGATGTGACTTGATGCAGCAGAGTAATTGTGGAACATTTCTCAATCCTGAGACACTTAAAATAATGTCTAAACAAGAGACCAGTGCACCACTGCAGTTTATGCCTTTTCCCATGCCTTCTTTCAACCATCCCATATATTCCCAGGATATCCAGCTTTCCTGGGGCAGAGGCTGACACTTACTGCAGGATCTTCAGGTTGGTCATGTGAGGCAGACAGAGGGCAAGTTTCACTGCTGTCCTGTCTCCAAAAACATTCCTTGATAGTCTGGAAGAAGCAGAAAGGAAATATTACTGGCAGTGAACTACAGAGCCCCATTCCTCACCTGTGTGTCACCCACATGTATCTGTGATCCCCATTCCTCGCCCACATGTGCATAGGGCTATGCTGAAAGAAGCTAATGTCCATGATTCAAAGGACACTGAGGGTTCGAGAAAAGAACGAGGTTCTGTAATCCTGTAGCAGAAGTTAAACAGGGAAGTAAAACTGACTTGCACTTCTCAGGAGCACACCGATCTCCCTTTCTGACTGAGCTGTCCTGAGCTAGAATTAAACAGAAATTGCACGTTTTATTATGTGCCCTTAGTCCAGTACACTGTAATCTGAAGGTTATACGAATAGCTCTAGCATTTTAACTGTAACTTTTCCTCATTTTTTCATTTTTTAATTTTATTTATTTAATATGGCAGGGCACGTATGTTCTATAAACTGGCCTGGAATGGAACGACTCATAATACATCTGGCTGAGTAAAGCCTTTATCTGTCATCTTCCTTCCATTTTTGCAGCCATATAGAGTAATGCTGATTTCTTAGGCAACACAGGCACTGCCCAGCCCATATGCCTGTGGCACTGCCTATTAAACCGCAGATTCAGCTCTTCCCCACTAATGCAGTCTGTATGGTTCTTGGGAATCTCTGAGAGATTCCAGTGAACAGCAAATCCCCAAACCTCCCACACCCAGCACCACACATTCCTATCCCATGTAGCTGTGAGGTTTTACCCTGCTCTCATAAGAATCAGTGGTAAAACGCATTTTGGCTTTACCAGAGCCATACTAGATTTGGTTTCTATGCCTTGTTTTTGCCCAGCTTCCTGAAGGGACATTGGAAATTACACACTTACAGTAACTCCTCAATGCGCTTGCAATAGGCAAGAGCTTCCATCAGCTTTTCCCCTCCAGCAGGACTAGGACTGTTCCCTGAAAGGCTAAAATCAGCATGAAAGACTCTCAGTGACTGAACAAGAACCAGAACGTACCAGCTTAGGATATTTCACTGTTTGCCTGGCATGATGGGAGACTTGGGTCACTGCAACGATGGGCTACACAGGGATGCAGTGCTGTGTCCAGAGACACAGGTCTCTGGAAAATGGCCTGGGGATTTGTAGTGTGTTTTTGTCAAGTACTGAGTCACTTCTGCCCCTGCAAGTACTGGGGGGGAGGAGCAGTTTTCCCTCTCCCAGACAGAACTGGGAATTTCATTTTCTTGTTTAAGTAATTTCCAGGTTTTTAATTTCAAAAATTACAAGGCATACCCCAGAGCTTAGCCTAACAAACAGCCTGGATGCTCTAATTTCTGTTCCCTTGGAGGAGGGACAGTTTGAATCCATGTCTCTGAGAGCAAGCCTTGTCTAGAAACTGTGTCCTTGCTTTGACAACTTCTCAATTTCACCTCTACGTCCACTAGTAAAATAAAGCAGTTTGCACCACTGGGGGCCACCGCACTGGGAGCCCAAGGAAAGGTGCTGTGTGGATCTGAGACTTGTATGATTCCCCACAAGCTTGCAGATTTACTTTCCAGGACACAACCAAGCCAGAGATCTCTCCATTCAAACAGCTAGCGAAGGCTGGCAAATGCCCACCGCTGTCTCTGGGGGTGACTGCATGAGGACGTGGCCATAACCTTCACTCTCAGAGAGTCTCTGCACTGGCAGAAAAAGTCGCTGCCAGGCCCAGCTGTAAATGGGGAGAGCAGGAGAGGGACCATGTTCCATTGGTTTGGTACATTTTGTATCAGGTCTTCAATGACATTGAAAACACTGGAAAGAGGTGGAACGTTGTATAAATGAAGGCAGCACTCGGCTTCCCACACAGGCTTCCCCACCACCTGTGGCCATAAGCAAAATCGCTGCAAGCAAAACAAAGGGACTCACTCGATTCTCTTCAGGTTTTCCATTTCCAGCAGGACAGCAGCTAGATTTATCAGGCCTGGATCTCCAATCTGGTTGTGGCTTAAACTTTAAAGAAGAGAAGAAAGACTGTGTTGTAAAGGAAAATGCTAAGCATCAGGCAAAGTATGAGATGTTATTTAATGTCTCCCATCTGCTGGATGACACCTCTGACCTTGGCAGCAGAACCAAAGAGTTGCTTGTCTCAACTATCTCATGAAAGACTAATAGCTGTTAATGAGGCATTAAAAAAAATTGCAAAGAGCAATCAAAATCACTGGATCTTTTTAATGGATGGGAAATTACTTCAGTCGGAATACCAAAACAGGCAACAGCTGGTTATTATTTTCCAGACTACTGCAGTGGAGAATGGACAAAATCTGGCTAGGGAGAGGGGAAAAAAAGCAGAGCAAGCCTGGGGTTGGCTCTAGATTCAGATCTTTTCAGGGCAGGGAAGTGTTAGGTCCACGGCTTTCCCAGGAGAGAAGGGGGCCTCTGGCCCTGTTCTGGATCCCAGGGATTCCAGAGAAGGTTTAAATCCAGAGGCTGTTTAATCCATTTTCTACATGACTGCAGCAGAGTGGGGTTACACCAAATTGTCCTCTTCTTAACATCAAGCTCTGATTTCCTCTAGCCCAAGGTACCTCATACATGAGCATTTTGCAACCTCCCTGCTTTTGTTACAACATCTGGGTCTCTCCAAATGTTGGCACTAGTGATCACCTCTCTGCTGATGAGAGACTGCAAGAAAGGAGAAACTTACTTGATTTCTTCCATGTAGTGCATATTCCTCAAGGTTCCTGCAAGTCTGGAGCAGCCATCATTACCAATACTGTTATGGTTCAAGCTGGAAACAACATCCCCAGGAAAATGGACATTAAGCTAGTGTTAGTCAGTATCACAAGCCAGGCTAGAGGCAAGCTGCAGTCACATACTTACATAAGCCTTTTCAGAGATGGCATTTCACGAAGTGCCAGCACAAGCTTAGTGATAGCAGCACTGCTGAGTTTCATGTGGCCCAGGCTAAAAGAGGAAATAACACAGGAACAACTAATTACCCATGGGCAGTCATGCAAGCACTCAGAGCAGAGGAGAGCAGAACAAGGGTGGAAGAGGAGTGGGAGTGTGTTCTAGTCCCTGTGAATACTTTTCAATTTTGTTCTCTAATGTGATTCTACTGGATGTGTTTGGATCCTGATAAAATACCAAGAGAATTCCAAATCTCTAGAGCAAGGTGCCACTGTGACCACAAGATGGCAAAGCATCACACAGCAACACACATAGTCCAGTGGCACTTTGTAACAGAAGGATGCCTTACATGTAGGTGCCTGGAAAAGCCATTTCTGTGTGCAGGCCACCAGATCATCCTCCAGGAGTGAAATGCTGGCTCTGGGATTGCTGCATGGGCAACACTGCCTCCCAGCTGGGACATGATCCACGCAAAAACCAGCTACCAAAACACTTTATTTCTCCACTGGACATTCCCTGCCACAGACTACTGATCTCTGCCTCTCTCACTCATCGTTCATTGCAAATAAAAAGGAATTGTTGCTTGTTCCCTATCTGAAGTCGTACAGCCATCAGGAAAACTACATCTGTCCACAGTACAGGCACAAGCGAGGCTGCAGTTTAACTAAAGCTTCTAGAAAGACCTGGCAGACTCTGGACAGCCTGGTAACACCACACTCACTTGAGCTCTTCAATGGCCTGGCAATTCTGCAAGCCCGTGATCAAGTAATCAATTCCAGTTGGCATAATACTGCTAGAGGTCAGCCTGCAAAACAGCAAGGATCAAGTAAGAAGGCCAGGTCTCAGCACACTGAAAAAGAGGAGTTTACTTCACTGACACAGGCAAGCTGCCCCATCCCAAACCCCAGCCAGCATAGACATCAGGGACCACTAAGTCTGGAGAGATTTCCACACCTCCTGTGTACAGAACTACGAGGACTAGGTAGTTCAGAGATGTTCACATGATGTACATGTACCAAACAGCACAGTGTCTGCCTGTGCCAACCAACCGCCAGCATTTCACTGGGCAGAGATGCCCTTTATAAGCCTGCCATGCACTTACAGGCAGTTGAAGAGGGCTGTGAAAAGGACTGAATGCTATTAATACCAGAAAAAGCTCTTTGACACAGTAGGGTGGTATAAACTTACCTACAATGTAAACAAGAGCCAAGGTCTCAGCCTCAAATTGCTTTCACTTCAAAAAAGGGGAAGAGGAAAAAACCTCAAGACATGCACATGGTGCCACCTTTAGCACGAACTGCAGAGAGCTGTTGAGTTTGCAGCCTAGACATGGCTCAGGAGAGATCACAGAGCTCATGGCCATATTCCAGACAAAGAGTGTTTCAGAGAGGATCAGGGTGAGGCACACAGTTAAGTAAATGATAAAGATGTGGAAAAGACCACAGCTGGGGACATACCCAAACTTCTTCAGCTCTGGAAGAGGTAGCAAAATCCTGACTAGCATTTCTGCTTCATCATTGTGAAGCTCAACATGAGACCATCTGCAAGAACAGAACAACAGATCTGGGCTATGTCCATTGATGGTGAAAGGTCTGTACCAAGCCCACAGCTAAAGCACACCGGTGCTGGGACACTGAAGAAGTGTCACGACATTGATACTTGGCAAGGTCCCATGGGAGCTCCCAGCCACAATAAGAGAGTACAGGTTATCTGGGCACAGGGGAGAGATTTAGATACCTTCAAAGGATACCCCAGGATGCCACTAGGTCTATGGGTCTTTTCTATTTTCCATTCGAACACTCTAAGCAGGGGACCCAGACAGCAAGGACTAGGACTTTGCACACACAAGGACAAGCTATTCCCTTCCCAAAAAAATCATCTACAATGCCTGGCAACTCACCTCAATTCCTCAAGCTGAGCACATTTTTCACAAACCCTTTGGCAGAAGCAAGCATGCTTGATTTCTGGCTTGTACAGATTCAATCTGCAAGATACAAACACAGAATGCAATTGCCAATGATGATCAGCAGATGCTCACTGCAGTGTCTGGTGCCCCTTAGGGCCAGGCTTAGGAACAGATCAGAGCTTTGCAAGTGCCCTGTCCTGGTTTCAGCTGGGATAGAGTTAATTTTCTTCTTAGTAGCTGGTAGAGTGCTGTGTTTTGGATTTAGGATGAGAATAATGTTGATAACACACTGGTGTTTTGGTTCTTGCTAAGCAGAGTTTACACTAGTCAAGGACTTTTCAGCTTCTTGTGCTCTGCCAGGTGCATAAGAAGCTGGGAGGAAGCATAGCTAGGACAGCTGACCCAGACTGGCCAAAGAGCTATTCCATACCATATGACATCATGCTCAGTATAAGCTGGGGCTGACCCAGACTGGCCAAAGAGCTATTCCATACCATATGACATCATGCTCAGTATATAAGCTGGGGGAAGAAGGAGGAAGGGGGGGACGTTCAGAGTGATGACGTTTGTCTTCCCAAGTAACCGTTATGCGTGATGGAGCCCTGCTTTCCTGAGGATGGCTGAACACCTGCCTGCCAATGGGAAGTAGTGAATGAATTCCTTGCTTTGCTTTGCTTGCATGCATGGCTTTTGCTTTACCCATTAAACTGTCTTTATCTCAACCCATGAGTTTTCTCACTTTTACTCTTCCAATTCTTTCCCCCATCCCACCGGGGGGGAGTGAGCAAGCAGCTGTGTGGTGGCTGGGGTTAAACCACGACATGCCCTCTCTAGGCCCTCCTGCTAAGTCCCAGTCCAGTGTGGAGAAACACAGTCCTTCCCCAACTGTGCAAGAAGACAGATGCTGCCTTATTCAGCCGCACAAAGGGAAAAAGACACTAATGCTGTTCTGCCCCTACTGCCTTATTCAGCCGCACAAAGGGAAAAAGACACTAATGCTGTTCTGCCCCTACATGTTCAGGCAGAAGCCAGCATGTCTTAAGAGTCTTCAAAGCGCTCATGTCTCCTGAGAGCTCCTGGTCCTGCAAGGAAGGTAGGCAGATTTTTTTACTTCAGGCAGGTCCAGTATGGGCCTGAAGGTGGGTGGCCCGAAAGACACAGGCACATGAATAAGGTTCCTTCCGCATGTGTGGCACAGAAGCACTCTGAGACTGAACCCATGGAGGCCAGAGCCTCAGACACTCTGAGGATATTTTTATGTCACGGTGAGTTTCAGAACAAGCAGAAAATAATGACAGTCACTTTCTCACCTGCTAACGACTGATTCCACCTTCTCCAGGCAGTGTGGGAACCTTACACCTAATTGGAAGAGGGTTTTATCTTTACATATCCTGGAAAGGTAGAGATTAGAGAACATCATAAGCCTGTGAATTCTAGAGGGAGAGCAAATGCTATTTTCCAGAAGAAAAATCAGAAGGACTGGATGGGACAGGACTATGCTGGTGCATGAATGCTAACCACCCACCTCTGAAGAGGTATGCAGTGTTTAAACTAGTTCCAAAGCCAGCCTAATCTGGGCACCCTTCCTCCCAAGGGAGACCAGGAACATGGTCTCCTTTCCATTAAACCTTCTAAGGTATGTGACCACAAACCTTCTAAGCACTTCTACCTGCCAGACATTTGAGCCAAACTTGCTTCAAGTTGGCTAATGGCTTACAAATGCACTGCAGACAGAGAATAAAGAACAGAAGAGCAAGTTAAAGTGCTGGCTTCAATCCCATTTCCTTAAAAGTATCAGCCTAAAAGAAAATATCGAAAAGATACCAGAACTTGAGGTGTTACTTACGTGATCTCAGTAATGTTTCCACAGGCCTGGACAGCCAGCTCAAGAAGGTTTGTGACACTTTCTTTACATACCCATGGTTCTTCTATGCTGCAAAGCAGAATATAGGCAGCTCTGCTTTATTCACATGCATGGATCCATCTCTGCCTCTGTCAGCTGAGTGCTCAGCACTCTAATATACATGGAAAGGCTGCTTTGCTCATCAGAGTAATGTCTACATAGGAAACAGGATGCAAACTGGGAACAAACAGAGGAGCAGCCCAGTGTCCCTGCAGAGGAGGACACAAACATCAACTTCCCTCCTGCCTGCCTACCACTGACAGCAATGAGAGGGAGCCTGGTCCTTGTGCTCTAATGCAACACATTTTGGGAGAAGTGAAGAATTCATCACCCAGAGGAACCGCAGGATGCTCTGGCAATACCTAGTTAAGGACATAGTAAGAATGTGTTCATCAGAATTAGCAACCTTCTTTCTAAGGCAGGTAGAGGTCTACAGAGACAGCAGAGTTTATGGCCACAGCTTTACGTGATGCTTAGTAGGAATCAAGAAGATAAAGCCGAAATACCCATAACTTAAAGAGTCACCCATGGGAATTTTTCAGGCCAACACTACCTATCTTTGGAAGAAGCACAGTTCACTTTTGGTTTTGATGAAAGGAGATCTTAGATGATCAGACCAGCCTCAGATCAGTATCTAAAACAGCGACACAGTACCTGATTTTCAGAGGACTCAGATTTTTCCTCAGTGAATGCAAAAGTCTTTCTGCAGCTTGGACTGTCACATTGTTATTTGAGGATCTAGAACCAAAGGTCATTGTAATGAATGGCTTACAAACAAGCCCACCCAAATGGGTCCAAGCAGCCATTAACTCACATGTACTCTGTCAGACCAGTGCACTTCTCCAGGAGCAAGCACAACTTTTCCAAGTGTTCTGGCTGAAAGTTGCACTCTGAGAGCCTGAAAGGATGCGAAAGAGAACAGCCTTAGTTCCTTACAAACAGTTCAGCCTTTCTGACCCAAAAATCTCAGACATCACAACCCTTCCCCACAGAGAAAGAAGGATGGCACCAAAACCTTAAATGCCTTGCAGGGCTTCCAAAAAATGACCGTGGCAACACTTCAAAAGCATCTGTTGAGATGTTCTGATACAGCATATGGGTATGCTAATGGTGCAGCTTTTTGTAGCACCCTGTCCTGTGACAGGGACTGTAGGCACACCTACAGGTTCCTAGGTGAGGAACAGTCAGTGAGGAAGCAGTGAGAGAAAGGGATGTGGATTCTCTGTGACATGAGAAAGCTCTTCTCAGAAGGTGAATCAAAGGAAATGTGTCATCTATTAGTGTAAATGGAGCCATGCCAGGAGCTAGGGGCTACAAGAGGTTTTGTCTGCTTGTCCCTAGAAAAAGGACACCACTTTTGTCAAAGAAATCACTAAAAAACATCTGTACCGATACCTCAAAATCTTTCTCGGGTGATCTCTGCTTGTCAACTTGATGATTAAAGTTGCTTTGGAGCACAAACTGCACAGAGAAGACATGTGAGTGTAAGATTTGGAGGGAAAATTACTATTTTTCCCAGTGCTCAGAATTTAACAACACATCAAACTGCACAAAGCAACACAGCACAGCAGTGACAGAGGTACCTGGCCTAGATCACCTCTCCCTAAAACAAACCAGCCCAGGGAAATGCTTCAATAAGGTTTCACTAATGCTAAACTGGCATAAGGCAGCACTGCTGGTTGGAGAAGCAATCTTGATCTGCCCTGCTTTTGTCTGCCTCCTCCTGTCCCTGCACTCTCTGCCAAGCTCTGGGGAGATCTAAAACAGGAGACTGATCTGCCCAGCCAAAAGATTCAGCACCCACGGTTAACTGCAGGAATGAATGGAAGTGACCCTGGTTAAATTTGGTTCATGACAGATCAACTGGTCTACGTGAACATAAACACTGATAAGGGCACATCTGCAGCATGGCCCAGCCTTGTGACTTGAATCCGTGAGAAAAAGCAGTTCATGCCAGTGCAACAAGCCGAGAACCCATGGGCTATTTTTGCCAGAGAGGAAAGGAGATAAAGATGCAAATCCAAGTAAAGAACATCGGAAATTGCTTTCAACAGACTCACTCTGAAATCTCAACATACTGAAGTGAATTAGGGACCACATTTTTAGAAAGCAAATGCTGACTCCTGCCTTGAAGAGGTTCATCGACAGATACATACGTGACAATAATTAGTACAGCTGAATACCTGTGTCTTTATACACAAAAATGACTTGGCCCTGTGGAATAACAGTTCTGCTAGCTTCCTCCTTGGCAGCTATTTTTGGCCAGTAGAAACAGACATAAACAAAAGCTTTGCATGCAGTTATACATAAAGGTAGTTGAAAACATGGCCCTCGTCATTATTACCTGAAGATCACAAACTTTCGATAATTAAGAGGAAAACATGCGGGGAAGAATCAGAAATTAGTGAGAAACACACACCTGACTTGAACTTCAGTGGTATTTCCAGATGTCGCAAAGGCATTTATGAGATGCAGAACTCCATCCTGAGAAATCCTATTATGGCTGAGACTGCACAGAAGAGAAGGAAGGTTTTTCAGGTGCTAAGAGTCAGGGTTGTCCCCATGCTCCTCAGCCACAGAGGCAAAATTCAAGTTGGCACCGAAGGCAGAGCAGTTTGTGGGGTGCTAGGCCCCTTCGGCTGTGCTAAATGCACTGAACCCCTCCAAGGCACAGCACTGATGACTTGGGTGACACAGCAAGTACAACTTGCCTCTTGCACTACAGAGGCAGCCAACTGCTGGAGCAGTTGCTTCCCCACCAGAAAGGGAAGAGGAGAGGCTGGCGTAGGGCACAGTTAAGCTCACAGCATTTATGTGCTTTGAGTTATTCAAAGACGACAACGTACACAGAAAAGTGATGAACTGAAAACGCAAGGGACTGGGTCAACTTCTGTCATGCTACCCCACTCTGGGCCTTGTTATCTCCTGCTGACGCTACTAGAAAGACTTTTACTTACTTCACAGGGTTTGGATCAGACCCTGAGTCACCCTGGCCTGGAGGTCTTGAGTTGTGCTCATGGCTCACTCAGACCTTACCTCCTAAGGCAGGAGTGGGCAAGAAGCATGACAAACAGCTTCTGGAGGGATTGCATGAACATCTTTCTGCTAGGGCACCTCACATTCACAGTATGTTTTCTTACTTGAGGGAACAGGTAATGGGCACTTGACGCAAGTGGTCCAAGAGGCACCTCAGGCCTTCATCTCCCAGCTGATTCCTGGAGAAACTGAAAGGAATAAGAACAAGGTGGCCAACCAAAACTTAGTCTTTTAAGCAGCAATGCTCCTCTGAGCAGCTCTGAAGAAAAAAGCCAAACTTCCTGGACTTAAATCCCAGCTCGGCCATTAAAGGTCTGTCTAAAACAAACTGCTGCTCTACAAACTACTTCATGCATAAGCTCCAGAGCAAGCTCAAATGAAGAGCTCTGGTCACAAGCTCAGAGCAGAGCTCAGATGAAGCAACAAATGCCTCAAAACAGCCACAGAGTGAAAATGCCAAGGAAGTTGTCCCACCAGCTCAAGCCCTCTTAATATATATCTATAAAGGACCTGTATGATTACTAATCAATTTTGTTTCTAAATAGCCTGATCGAGCACACATACACGCGCAGACAGGCTGGGAAACCCCAGGCAATGCTGAACCATGCCAACCCAGCTCTCCCTCAGTGACTCCTGGTCAAGGTCATGGTAACAACCCAAGCCCCACTTACTCGACTTCTGCCAGCCACCCATGCTGCTCCAGGACTCTGCAGAGCTCATCTATCTGTCCTTGACCGATGGCACAGTCTGTCAGCCTGCGTATGAGACAGCAAGAGAGTTAAAGCACGGCCAGCAACTAGGTTCAGCCTGAGCACTGAGAGCTGCCCATCAGCAGTTGCATTTTTACACCAGTCTTCATGCAACATTCACTGAGATGAATGCCTTTAGCTGCGCCAGTGTTTGATATTTCTTTTAACACCTCCCTGAGGTTAGTAACGACAAACCCCACATTATTAGTGAGAAACAGACCTTTTCACATTTTTTGCCATCTCCTTGGTGCCTACTGGAGACATGTTACAGTCTTCTTTACAGGGGCACCCAGCAACCATCACTCCCAAAGAGACACATATCACAAACACATCACACTGATGCTCATATGAAGATTATCATCCAGAATTTGAGGCATACATGTGGAAATGCGGTGGCTAGGGCTCAGTTCAGCTGCTTGTCCAGCAGAATTTGGTGCCACTCAAGATGATCATGAGTAGCCCAGCGGCCACTCCAGAAAGGCACAGGTCTCTGCCATCCCAATGGATCTCAAATCGTACTGAGTTGCACTTAGGCAGATGAATTGAGCCACAAAGCTTCAGCTACTATCCCAAGCTCCTTGACTACCAGCCCATGAGTTCTTCTTACAAGAGGAGATTTGGCTACTTGCACTAATGTTTCAAACTGAATCAAAACAAGTAATTATAATCAAGTATCATACGCCAGTACCTGCAGGATGTCTTTTGGCTTCGCGTGCTTTCTCCTAAATGCAAAAAAGCATTTTCATTTGACCTGAAGCAAACACAAAGGACAGTCCTTCAGCAATGCTCTTCAAAGACAACAAGCTTTGTAGTCCCTTTAAAGCAGAGCTGCTTGGCTCCAAACAGTCTTAGTGTCATACCGGACTTCTACCATTCTGATCCGCTCACAGAGATTGATGGAGTTGATGAGTAAGACGCTGCAACGTGGGGAAAATGTGTTGCTCCTAATACTGTAAAGGAGGGGAAAAGAAAGAATAACGAAATCAGCTCCCAAGAAAGGTGTAAATACACACGGCCCAATTTTCCCATTGTTTACTGTGAGATGCAAAAGGCTGGATCCACCCCATTTAACTAAAGATCAGTCAGCAAGGATCTAAAGTTTTGAGCATTGGCACCCAGGGTTCCTTTAACTAAAGGAGAGTCTCCTTTAGTCTTCTTTGACTAAAAAGGGAGTACAGACCAAGGGTTTACACTGAACAACTTCTCTTCAGGGCTCCTGGACTAGAGATACCCCAGACTGGAAGCAACCTCCTGAGTGAGCAAATTCAGTCTCTTGAGACACTGCAGCTCCTCCACGCTACAACATCTTGCAAAAGATGGCCAAATTCCTTCTGGGCTTTTTTCCACATGGTGGGAATGCCCTAGCCCCTGATAGCACCTCTCTAGCCTAAATGGCTGATATGCTGCCAGGAAACACTTTTGGTGTCGAGTGTGGCAGGATGCCAGATCCCTGCAGGAACAGAGCTGTGAGATGCTGACCACGCACACGGGTGGTGTGCTGTCACCGTGTGTCGACCAACAAGTCCTACATCTGTAATGGATGCTGGAAGTCATGTTCCACGGGACCTGCTAAGTGAAGATTATCTGGGATGCTGTACCTAGAGTGGGTATTTCTCCTCCTGTCCTTTTTTTTCTCTATGTATCATTAAAGAAAAAAAGGTTCAGTGCTGCTTTGGTTCTAGAAACAAGACAGAAATGAGTGTGAAAGAGTTTCTGCATTTTCTTTGCCTAGCTTGTTAATCTACAATTACTGATTAACGCTCCTGAGATATGTTGTGGTATTAACACTTTCCAAATCACTGTTTCATGCAATCAAAGCAGGGACCCCAAACATTACCTCAGTAGTGTCAGATGACAGAGGTATGGCAGGAAGCTCAGTAATCTCTCAATGCTCTGGTCACTCAGGGAATTTCCAGACAGACTGTAAAACATGGAAGGAAACAAATTCCAAGAGAAACTGGGACAATCTGTAAGTATTTGTATAAAATATACATGGACATGCACACACACATGTGCATGGGGGTGTTATGGGCAAGTTCTGTAAAAAAAGACATGTCCAGAAATACCCTGAAAGTGGGGTGACATTTAGTCCTTATAAGCTGATCCTTATAAGTGTTTCTCTACATCCTATAGCCAATTAACATTCCAGTTTTAAGAGTCTTACTTTTCCATTACTGTAAGTTATAAAATGATGCTACTGACATATTTCCTGCATGCAATAGGGGTATTATGTTATTTTTATTTATCATTACTCCGTTTCTGTTCTGAGCAGTATTCTTCTAATTTTCTTAGTGCTCAGCTCCTGTCTGGAGTAAGAAGTTCTTCAGGAGTTTGGTTTACAGCTTAGTGGGCCAGGTGCTCTTGCTCTGGCTCTACTGCAAGCCAGATTCTTGAGCAGTAGATGAAAATACTTGTGTACAGCCATATGACTGAGGAAGACTATGAAAACTCATGTGTGTTCTGGGGTGTTTACACACAGACATGGTAGACTTAGGAGAGGCCAAACTCTGAAGCAGTGGAAGGTGTGGGTTTATCTAAGCATCTGGGTGAAGTTTTGCAGGGGTTTCTAGGAGGCTGTGGTGAGAGGAGACCCGATTTACACTAGCTGCTAACCTGAACTCCGACTCTGTATCTGCAGGTTGGGGAGACAGACAAACAGACAGGGTTGCCAAGTGCACAACACTTACGCAATTTCTGTCAGCTGGGGACACTGAGCCAGTATCTGGCACAGCCTGGTCATGTCCTCAGGACCCACTCTGCAGTCCCTGAGACTGAAGCAAACAGAGCACTCAGGAGCTAAACATTTCCCATGACCACAGTATGGCAACACTCCCTTCATATCCCGGAGCTTCACATCTTAGAACAAGACCCATAGGAACCCTCTCGTTTCCACTACAGGTATTTTGCTACCCACAATCTAGGACTGAGAAGTCAAAACCTGTGACAACCAGATGATTTCATCAGCTTTGAGTTGATTCAAGAGAGCCAGTCCACTAAAATACCATGTTACTTTGGGTGTTGCCTCCCTAGAGCCACATTATTGGTACTTAAATTGTCCCAGGAGACTGGACAGCATCTTTCCCTCCTCAGCACTGTCTCAGCTCTCCCAAAGCAAGGCTGGGAATGGGGCCTCCTATCTCCTTCTCCAAGAAGGAAATCGCAGAAACCTTCCTGGGTGACAAACTGGCAGGTGTCCATGGGACGAATGTAGCAGCCAGACACATCTCTATCTCATTATTTATGGGTAGAAGCTTCCCCTGGAGGAAAGCAAGACAATCCCTATGAGCCTAGCCAAGCAAGACGCACTATTTATTTTCATATACATGCCTGTAACAGTGGTCATCCCAAGTCTATCCCAAGAGGGTGTATTATTCACCCAGTCACCTCTGGCTTATCACTGTGTCCCTCCAGTGACCACAAAGCACAAAATCCTGTTGACCTGGGTTGATGCCAGCTAGCCCAATCTCTTTAAGGTTTTGCCAGATTACACCAGCCAAGACCTTCTCCCTTGCAACCAAGTGTTATTTTGGAGACTGGCCTCCCTGGCCAGTTTCAGCAGGGGAGAGGATGGAAGAGAGATATATTAGAGATGGACCTTTTCCAGAGGTGTCTCATGTGGAATCAGTCATGACAGGATACAAGCAGAGGAAAGAACCACCTGCTTTCCAAGAGAGCTGAGTCTGCCTCCGAAGGCAGGTGGGGCACAGGACAGTTTTCTGAGAAGACACAGCTGGAGGGGGACAGGTCTGTTCCACACATTACACTACAGACGTACAGACCCCCACAACCATCCCTCCCTATGCTCCTGGGCAACAAAAGGAAGCTGAGGCTGCCATACCAAAAGCACCGTCCTTTTGCTACGTGCTTGGGATGCGCCAGAAAACTACTTCTCCATCTGCTGGTACTTCTGACCCTGGGGAAAGAACAGTTTACGCCATGAGTTGTGCTGATATTATTGCTCCCCTGCAGCTCACTCCCCACGCTGCAGCTGGGGAAGAGGGTGAGGTGGTGGCAGTGGCCTCATGCTCCAGTCTACCTTTTCTCACCACCTGCCAGAATTAAGTTCACGTCATCCCCAGAAGAAAAAGGGCCTTATCATCCCTCTTCCAGCCTCAAGAGAGTTCTGCATCCACTCAGCACTTTGGGCATTTGCTCTGCCCTGGCCCAGGAGGGAGTTGACTGCAGCCTCGATCAGCAGCAGGATACTGCCGTCTGCTCCATACCCTTAAGCTGCTGTCAATCAATCAGCCATGAAACAGCTCACCCTGCTTCCACCACCCTGACTGGAGTTTGGAGCCAAACAGCTCTTTAATTGGCACACCTCAGGGACTCACACATCACCATCTATATAAAATCTCATAAGGAGGGGTCTGAACGGCTTAGACAGATGAGTGGGTGTGAATTTACCTGATTCTTTCCCAAAAGGTTAGATGAACCACCTGCGTGTGTCCTAAGCTGTAACCAGAAAAGAACATAATTAGGATGGAGTTTGAAGACACGTGCTCCTGTATCACTCCTCAAAAAACAGAGCTTGATGTCTTAAATAGCAAAAAAAAGGAAAAGTACTCCTGGCCATACCTGAGGTTCATTGTTTTAATGTGTTCCAGTGTAGATAAGGACTGAGCTAAGAAAAACACAGATTTCAGCGAGATCTGGTTGTCATTAAGCCTAGAGGAAGAAGAGATGAAATCAGCTGCTGCAAGCAAAACAACTAGCAATTCACAGTGTCACCCGATAATAGCGATCCTTGTCCAACACTCTCAGAGACTGCTTCTTTGCCACCTTCTGCCTGTGTTTCCAACTACAGTTCTGCAAACAGAACTCACTCCACTATTTTTTAAATTCATCCCTCACTTTTAGTGTTCAGAGAATCACAGAATAACTGAGGCTGCAATGGACTTCTGGAGATGATCTCGTCCAACTCTCTTGCTCAGAGGAGGGTCAAATAGAGCAGACTGCTCAGGACATTGTTCAGCTGGGTTTTGAATATCAACAAAGATGGAGAATCCACAATCTCTCTGGGCAACCTGTTCTAGTGATTAACTGTCCTCACCACACAAGTTTTTTTTGTGGAATTCCTTATATTTCAAGACACTGATGCAAGGCAAAAACAACTCTTTGGCTGTAAGTGCAGTTGTGGCAGTACAAAATCCACACTAACTAAGATCATGCTCAGGTCTATTAGGTCTATCACAGTATCTAGTGTGACTGTGGGCAGTGTGCTTGATGCTGGGGAAAAAAAACAGATAAATAACAGCAGTGTGTTTCACTGCACTGACATGAAGAGAAGGTGCAGACTGTCAGTAACTGAAACAGTCTTGGCTTGAGAAAAGTTCAATTAATTGAACAGGAACAATAAATAGCTTTTTCAATAAAGCAGAATGGTGCTATACTCCTCAAGCCACAGTCCTATACAGTGCACTTGCAATGGGAGTGCCAGGTAAAATACCCAGATAAACATAAGCCAACCATTGCGGCTGAATTCAGATTCCACTGCTGAAGCTGGAGCTCCCCAGCATTTATCTTCCAAAGATGCCCATCTCAGGAGAGGAAGGACTGCTCTCCCTCCCAATGAGGAACCTGGAGAGGAAAAATTCAGTGGCCTACTAAAGATCTCAGTGTGTTTTAGAAACCAGGTGCCACACCTGCACACAAGATCACCTGTCTCCTTCATGGAGGACTGAGTACAGAGGCTCTCAGGCACTGATCTCAATCAAGGTTCAAGTGGAGTCAATCTGTTCTGGACGAGAGGTGGGGACAGACAAGACAGAACAGTGGATCTACCCTCAACAGACACAGAATATAACTGCACTTGATCCCGAGGAGCCCTTCGCAAATGTGGACTGTGCTTCCACAACCAATACTCCCACAAAAACCCATCCATGAGTAAGGGAAACAGGAGCTACTCACTTGAGAGAACTTAACATTTTCCAATTTGGGAGGAGCTGAAACAACTGCAAAAGTCCCTCGTCTCCCAGATAATTATTTGATAGGCTAGGATTAAAGAAAGGCATTTAATTTTCATAGAAAAAAAACAACAGGCACAATCGGCTCTTAGTAACACGAGCTCTGAAAGCAGAACACAGGCACCCTAATCCAAACAACCCATGCACTGCTCTCTGACAGCTAAAGCCTACATGGAAACCAGAGACTGGAATTAACCTACGTAAGAGAGCCAGAAACCTAGCTCAGGGGTCATCCTTTTCTCACATCCACCAAGTGACCCCTCCGGACTGACAGTGCTTTTTAACGTAGTTACCAGGGACCAGAAGTCCACAGCTTTGCGAAATGATCAACTTGGACAGGCCCAACAGAGGAGCCACAGGTTAGTTCTGGAGAAGGATATTAGGCTCTGATATTAGAGCCTAAGGATTACAATGGGCTATGGCACATATGAGATCAAGCGACATGATTCCTTAAGAAGAGCCAAAGCTTAAAATACCTTCCACAGGCTGCCAGGCCTAAGGGAATAGCCAGCCCTCAGGTGGCAGTACACAGACTATGTGCTTGTGCTCACCCTTGTTCTGTCCTCAAAACCTAGATGTGGGGGTGTGTGTTGGCTAGCCTTTCCATCAGGGCTGGGTCTGCTCACCGCTTACTGTTAGCACACAGGATGACTCCCCACACACAGCGCTAACAGAAGAAAGTGCTTTGGTGCTGAAGGTCCTTGCACACCATATGTAGGATCACCAGCAAAAACACAGGCCGCCACCCTTGTTTTAGGTGGGATTCTTCATGCTCTGCAGCTTTGCTCCCAAATGGCCCAAAGGTAAAAATGACAGGGCAAGGTTTTACAGCTTTTGTAATACATGAAGTCAGGCTAAGTGATCAAACAGCCCCTTTCTAGATCCTGCAACCTTTCCCCTAAGAGAGCACAAGAACTGTATGCACTAGAACTGTATGTCTCCTTGACAAAGGATATTAGCCCATGTAAAGCTATGCCTTTCATGAGGCTGTGTCTCTACCACATTCTCCGCACAACACTGCAGAACAAAAAAGTGGCATTTTCTCAATATCCCGAAGAACTGCAGACAAAGACCATAAGAGTTAAGGACTCACTCCAGCTCGGAGATGCTGCTACATTCCTTCAGGACTGCACACAGCTTCTCCAGGTCACCAGCTTGAAAATGACTGTCTGTCAGTCTAAGGGGAAACAGAAATCAATAGTCCAGGTCTGCAGGATTGCAAACAAGATTGTAAATTTCACTCCTTCAAAAAAACAGAGAATAAATCAGGAGATAATAATGAAATAAAAAAATCCCCCTGAAATATCTTGCTTTTTTTTTGTCTGCAACAACTGGTAATCTGTACTTTCAGCTCTTGTCTGCAAACAGAGAATAAAGAGACAAGGTAAAGAAAACTTGTGGCACAACAAAGAACCAGGTCCCCAAGATCCTGGTTAGAAGGCTTCAGGCACACCTTCTTCCTTCCTCACTGCAGCCTACAAAACAGACAGGTGCACTCTGTGCTGGAGTCAGGGCATAACCTGATATGCACCTGAACACAGGTCCAGTTTAGGATGCATTTCTCCCACTATCAGTAGAGAACCCCCCCAACATCACAAGCTCTGTCACTGACAGCTCCCCCAACTCCCACGTGGGAGCCAATGCAGTAACCGCACAATCACCACACCAATTCTGTGAATAAGATACACAATCCACAATCTGTTTTGACTCCTGTAAACCACAGACACTAACCACAGAGCTTTACTAGCTCTCCTGTGATTCACCTTGGAGATGCAGGTTACATCAGCTGTAGGATCCAGAAACAGGACGTGCATGAAATAAAATGAAAATTTGCTATGGTACCTTATTTTTTTTGAAGCAGTAGGTGTCTGGTTTTCCTCTCCATATTGTTGGTCATCAGTAGAGGACATAGGCTCTTCCCTAGTAAGTAAGCACAAAACCAGACAAGGGTAAAACACTTATGCTTTAGCAATTTGGCAGGTCCCTGGAGCTACCCTGGCTCTAGCCCACAAGCGTATCTTGCCAATAACAAGCTCTTCTTTCTTTCAGTGATTAACCAAATACGTGAGCATGCAGGCAACTGGGGAGAAGGGGAAAAGACAGATTTCTCATCTAAGCTACAGTTTGATGGAGAATTCAGCTATTGCCTAAACATGTTTTGTGAAAATAGTCCACGTCTGTGCAAAAAACTGACTATTCATAAATAAATGGAACATCCAAATCCTAAAATATCTGAGTTTGAAATGTCACCTGGTGCCTTAAAGGAGTCACAGACCATGTGTTTCAGGCTGTCACTCTCTTTAAAGCATAGCCACAACAACTGGGTTACATCCCATGATAGCCCTGCTGTTCCTCCCCACCTAAGAGGTGGGATGCAGATGTACCATGAGAAATGCTGTTCTACAGTGGGCTCGGTCCATGGAGAACAAGGGCATAAATAAATGAACCTACAGCTCCAGGAGCAGCAGGCAACCATTTCTCAAACAAAACATTTGGGTTGAGCTGGTTTGATCCATAATTTTCTGAGGGGAAAAATAAACCTCCAAATTTATTTTGATTTAGGAGTACCATGATCCAGAATGCATAGTGTGGTGATCTAGATGGTTTTAAACATGTAGGGATCTGTGAATCTTTTTGGAATTTGTTTTGGAGGTGTGGGGTTCACTTGTTTTTTTACTGTTCACTATTATCAGATAGCACAGCTGTCATTAAACAGCCTGCTTTGCTTAGGATGCTGTCGGTTGAAATGTCCCCTAGAGACATAAAACGTAATCAAACACTATAGAAGGCAGTGGGCAACTTCCAAAGTGGCTAAGAAAACCAGGAGAAAGTACTACATTTAGATTTGGGGATGGGGAGGGGGCAAGAACTGCTGTGAGATGAAGTGTTACCCTTGGTAGCTAAACAGGAAGAACTAAACGAGATGCTGAGAAAACACCATTTGTGCGCACACACTCTACCTAGGAGGAAGGGAAGCAAACTCCCTGTCTTCTGTAAACCTCAGGACTGCAGTCTCATGACAAAGGCTGTGAAGAAGAGAAGGAATCAATCAATGTCACATTTTGGTTATTTACAGGACTCCTTGTTTTAAGAATGCTTGATTTTGCTCTGCAAAACTCTTTGGTGACACCAATCACTTAAAACACTCCCAAAGCAAGCAAAAAATAATCTCCATTAGTTTTAAATCCTGGTTGGATCAAACTATGCAATATCAGATGACCCAGTTTCTCTGAATCATTACAGAAAGTGCAGACAAAATTGTTACACTTGAACTCCAGGGGGTTTCCAAGGGAAAGTAATTAGAGAGAACTTCCAGCTCCACTCCGGGAGATGTCACCAGTTCCCATACTCCACAGAGACCCTCTCTCCAAAACTTCCCAGGGCAGAGAGCAGGAAAGAGTCTAAAACTGCCCCCACGCATGAAAGGACACACAGTTCTGTACCTTCTCAAATTCTGGTTAATGTCTCAGATAAAATCAGCTTACAGCAATGTATCACCAAGTGTCAGTGTCAGTAATCATCTCTGGACATGTTCTTCACCTGCCCCACTTCTGAGGTGACTCAGTAAAAATCTCAGAACCTAACTCTCAGACTTGTATATTGGGATTAACCTCAGGAATGATTCAAGACCTACATACCTGACTTGTACCTCCATCATCTTCTGGCAGGTATTTACTGACTTCAACAGACTGCAAATGCCATTAACAGAGAGGCGGTTTTGACTGAGACTAAGAAAGATAAAAAAGGCAATTAGCTGGTCACTGAAATCACACAGGACCATCCTAGTGGAAGTGGTCATCAATGTTCTGCATGCTTGAACCCATTTCACTTCAGAAGTGGCATGGTGTAAAACACACAGGACCACTGCTCCTGAGGAAGGGGTTTTAATGAAAGGGCACTTCAGCACTTCAGATGCATTTAGACCAGTTTCCGTGTATGATGCTCTGAGCAAGTGACCAACTTCAGCCTGAACAGTCTCATGGGCTGAGTCTCATCCTTCCTTAAGAGTGCTCAGAACTGCTTCTGTAGCACTGGTCTGGGTGAGGCCTTTGCCTCCTGGATCCCTGCTCAGCCTCTCTGCAAGGTCCTTGCCAGGCTCAAGAAAAGAGGGCAATTTGGTTTTGTACAAGGCAACACTTACTCCAGCTGCTTTGAAATTGATATCCAAGGGAGGCTTTCCAGCAGGCAACTGCAGCCTTCATCTCCAAGCTTGTTACCTGATAAACTGAGGCATTTTCCAGTTAGTGGGGACTGTTTTGAACAGTATAAAAAACAAAGCCCTCAAAATCTGCTTGCTTTCCCTTTCCTACAATTGCTTTTTTGCCTGGACTGTTCTTCTGCCCCAGATCAATCTTCCCTGCTTATCTCTGCATGAAGCAACTTCTGACAAAGAGTTTTATCCCTAGGACAACATGATTCATGCTTTAGCCCCAAAACCATCTTACTTTAGAAAACCTAAGTGGGAGTACAAAGCAAGAAACCAAATGAGTGAGTGTTTACTGTCCATCTGGAAGCAAGAAAGGAAGGCAGAAAACAATGGATGACAAAGATCTCCAGATCCCAATTCAAATCAGTGAGCTAGAAAACTGGGGTTTGAGGTGTAGCTAAATTCAAGATACAGTCTGGACTGAACTGTCTTGCAACAGATACTCCTGCATTTTCCAGGGCAGACAGGTTAGAAGGAGAGCTTTATAGCCAAATCCAGGTTTGCCTCATATATAGGCAAATAAGGAAAGGTAGGGATGATGCTCATTGTGATGTGCAAGTTATGACGTGGATCTCCTGCTTTTCTCCGCTCACTTCTCCCAACAGAGCCGGATGGCTTTAGAAGACAAAAGGGACAACACAGAAGCAATCTGTGTCCCTTTACTGGCTCAGAGGATTCGCTGGAGGAGCTGTGCCTCTGGGATGTCTCCATACTGCCTCCAGCATGCAGCACTGCTTCGTTAGCAGGGTCTGCTCTGTAATCAGCATCTCTGGTTACAGTCCCAGGGAGCCAGAGGCTGCAGTTGTCACAGGAATCAAAGATGAATGTTCAGCATTCATCT